GAGCAGTGGTTCTTAAAAACCACCGCGGAAACCACCAAAACCACTGAAACCACCAACTACCAACCAACCACACACCACGCAAGACCGCTCGGTGGTTGGTACAGTTATGTCAGCGACGTTTTTGGAAGGCCTGCCCAAATGCCAGACAAACTGGCACTGGCACGCAGCTCCAAAAGATATCCCCCTTGTGCTCCCCCTTTGGATTGCTTTTTTGACAGCGGCGGGTAGTTGCGGGGGCTACGAGGGTCAGGGGGCCACAGGGGGGGTGGTTGGGGAGTCAGGGGGGCAGGAGGCCAAGATCAAATACGGTAGCCTTTTGCGGAATGGATCGCAAATCGGCGGTTCGACCGACAACAATAAATTTGCGTGCCAACACTTTTGAGTACACTTTTGGATGCAAAGGAGTATAAAAGCTATTAGATGAAGTGGATCTAAAATTTAATGATTTTTATTTGATTTATTTTTGTCCAATGTCAGCATGATAACTATTATTTTGAGAACCTTTTCTAAAAGTGTGGTAAGTGTTGCTTGAAGGAGTAACTTAATTTCAAAGTTTAATATATTTTATTTTGGTCAATTGAGTTTAGATTTCAAATAGTATTGATCAATTACAAAAATTATCAATAATTTGATTATCTACCGGTTGGTTAAATCATTTTTATCTTTGAGAATATTAATTGGGCCCTAAACATTTTTAACGATATATTTTATTTTACATAAAACGGTATATGTTTTTACTTAAAATCCGAATTAGGTCAGCAAAAAAATGTATATATCCATTTTGAAGTTTATAAAAATATCGACATCCAAATTTCAACTTTAGCTAAAGACATAAAGGGCATATAAAAATATAATTTTATTTTACTAAGAAATGAAAATGAAAGTAAATATGTATAATTGTGATATCTAATATATTTTTTTTTATAATGCCCCCTCAGAGTATAAGCACTTCGTTTACTGATTTTGGGCCCATTACCTTAACTGACTTATGCGAACGCATTTGCATTGTGTGTAACCTGCCCGACATACGTGTATGCCTGTGTAGTGCCATGTAAGCGACGCCGGCGTGTGTGGGAAATATTTGTTGAGCCATCGGGCCATCGAGGCATTCAGCCATCGGTCCATGGCCGGTAGCAGGCACCCAGATCGCAGTCCCAGGGTTCCTTCGGCTGCCCCCTTTCGCCATCCCAGGTGCAGTTATGATTTATGCGATACTCCTTCTCCGCCTCCTGCTCAACGGTTTGAGGTGAGGCCCCGGTGTTTCCAACGGCGTAAATTATATCGGGCTTAGCATAAATCGTCAATTACAGCACATGATTATTATTAGGGATTATGGGGACCGGGCTAAAAAAAAAAAAAAGAACTGGGAATATATAAAAAGGCCACGCCCGCGCGCCAAGCCCAATCCGGCCGAAAGGTCTGTTTAAACGCACTTTTAAGCGCCAGTTTTAGCCGCCTCAACCCATTTTGCCCCCCTCCCCAGAGAGAGCCAGGTTTAAATTATGGCCTAGACCACGTCGGAGGCTAAGGCCCTTGGTAAGAAACGGGCAGATAAACCAGCTCTTGAACAGTAGCCGGAGCTCAGCGAAGATCGTGTTGCCTGGGATATCTAATATAATTAATACACCTTTCATTAGATTCGCCGACTCGAATCGAGATTTCTGGCGGTTTGGTTTTCCTTTCCATTGGGTTTCGTTTCGGGGCGATTCAAGCGTTTCTAGGGTTTCGGGCGTCGTGTTAAAAGCAAGATATCAACGGTCGAACATCGCCGGCTGCTTAAGCTGATTTACCATAGATACAAAGATACAAAGATACATCTAGCCAGCACAATATAAATCAATCAAGAGCATACAAGTTCATTGACAGCTCGCACAGCTTGCCGAGCCCCGAGCTCTGCTCTGCGATGGCAACAATTTCCAGCCCCACATGATCCATGATCCTCGGTTCGGCTCTGGTATTCGTACTCGTATCTCTCTGGCAGGCGGCCAAGTGGACCGGGCCAGGCTAAAAAGCCAGAAAAAGCCAGCAACCCGCCTGTCAAATTGCCGGACCACATTGTAAGTTATGATTAGCTCACGCGCTTAAAGATTTAAGACCGGAAACGATGTGCGGAGTGGTGCGGTGGTGCGGTGTGCGGAGTGGTGCGGTGGTGCAGGCAAAGGCAAGGTGGAGCCAATAATTCAAATTCGAATCTCCAATAGTTTTTGAGTGATTGGAAATTTGATTTGGGTTTTGTTTTCCGTCTGTCTCGAGGGTTATTGCATTTTCATTTATTTATTTATTTTGTTATTTGTCTGCTCTTGTGGCAATGCAAACACACCCGCATAATTTCGCCTGGCAGCAGCCCACTCGGATTGGGAAGATGCCAAATTGCCACGCATAGTTTGTGCATAAATTATCGACATCATCTATGGAATTGGTCTGGTTTGGAAGCGGGTTTTGGATCTGTGGCAGAGGTGAACTTCTGTTAAATGTGCTAGATTTTACCTCAGTTAGTACATATTTGTATGGTTGAACAATAGTTACTATAGGTTAATTAATAAATTTAATGTTACATATATACTTATTTTACAGTACTTTAAAATGCTCTTTGTATATATGTAAAAATATTATTAGATAACCAGACCATCTATAATCAATTCAATTAAATTTCATTGGTTAATTTTATATTTTTATGCAAATTGTCTTTGTTTTATTTGATTTATAGTACAATATATTACCATATTTCAGTATTTATATTGTTTATTTATTCTGTGATATACTTTTTTATAAGCCCCTAAATTTTATTGGCTTAAAAAGTATCAAATTTAATCAGACTTGACCATTTTAATATATTGATCTTCCTTATTTCCAATGACAGCATCAAAGACCTATCTTTTTATCTATTGCACTTCAATAACTCCAGCAATTATGTACGTATTTTTTGTTCCGTTTTTTTTTTGGTTGTTTAATTTGCTGGTCGAAAAAGTTTCTCATTGGCATATTTCGCATATAATTGGCTATAAAAATTCATGTTAATGTGCAATTAATCATATTAGCAATTAACTTTATGCTGTTTGGCTGCTCTGCACGAGATCTCTGCGAGATGGTTGCAGATCGTGTCGCCCAACTCGGACCGCGCCAGATCGTGTCTCCAAAAGCCGGTCCCCATTCCCGATTTCCCATTCCCAGAGCCAATGGCTAAAGGCTCCAAAAGCCAGGCCCAGACTTTGAGCCAATTTTCTAATATTTATTTCTATGTTCGAAACGCTAACAACTTGCGTTTCGTTCTGGCCAAATTGAAAAGCCATACGGAAGCCGAGAATCGGCAGCCCGAGGAGGTGGGAGCCAGGAGGATTGCCCAGGAGTGCATAAAATTTAAGTATTATGAGCATACACTGGTTGCTGGCCGTCTTTAACCCCAGTTTTCCCCGGTCCCTGGCTTTACGAGGTTGTTAACTGCTGAAACTATGCAAGCCACTCATGGGGATCCTCCCATTCCGCCGGGCAGCAGCATCAATTAATCAGTCAGGCATAACGCCATTTGGCACAGAGCGGGCCCTCGGCCACAATTGATGGTCAATAGTCAATAATCGTTAATTGTTTTCGATTCTCGGCCAAAATCCCCTCGCGAGTCCATTGTTTGGCTAACCCTTTTTTGGGTCTCCATGGAGACAAACGCTAAACGATGCCATTGTCTTTCGCTCACAGCGTGTGTGCTTTGATGGCTTTTTCTCCTAGAGTATCATTCATTAGGATGGCTTTCTTCCATCTCCAGTTGGCTACTGGTTCTGGTGCCGCCTCTGGCCATTTGGCATTAACTATACATAAGTAGCCCATAATTAATAACTGCTAACTTACTTAGCGTCGTATTGTGCCAACTAATGAATCCCATTCCTGATTTTCCACCTCGAACGAAGCGTGAAGAAATGCCTTGGGTTTCCATAAATCCACAATATGAATTATCTCTTTAAATTGATTTCCATTTGATAAAACTTGATATCTTGTAACGAATTCGTAGTTTGATTGAACCGAAAGCGAAATTAAATTATTATTATATGATACTTTGGTTTTTGGAATAGATTGTTGGTTAATTCATTAAATGGAACATATAAAATAAGTTGTTTGATAAGAGATAGTAAGACAGTTGATTCTTCTTATTCCATTGACAAAACTAAAATCAATTGAAATTCTTAATTTTTAAAGATTTGAAAGATATTTATCATGTAGAGTAAGTATATTGTATATATTATTGAAATCATGATAAACTTCTTAAATTTGGGAAATTAACTCGAAGTCACAAAAAATAATTATGGCTAACAAAACAAAAAAATTTTATTTCATTATGTTTAATGTTGTTAATGTTGTTTTTGTTATTTACTCTTCTTAAGATTCTTATGCATATCAAATTGCTATCAGCTTTTTTGTTGTAAGGCAAACATTTGTGCAATTAATCACGATCCATTTATACAATATTGTAATTTTCTATTGATGGAATATTGATCGTGGTTTAATTAGAAGTAGGCGAGTTCCTAAGTGTTTTGTGCCCTCATAATAATATTCATGAATTTTCTCTGTGCGCTCAAAACTATGCAACATATTGTGCAGTCGGCCATCGTTGAGACATTCCATTCGACTCAATTGAACGAATTTAGAACGAGCGCGGTCTGCGCACTCAATTACATTTCACTTTCCAAGGGAAGGCCGCCACTCAGATGCACACATGTGCCCCGCAGCCCCTCGGCCCCTTGGCCCCTTAGCCCCTATCCATACACCATATTCCAACCATACCATCCATATCCCCGTTTTTTCGACCCTTCCTCTCTTTCGGTGGATTATACAATGTGTGGCTGGCGTTCCGTTCAATTTTGTGTGTTTTCTGTATTTGTTTATGCGGCTGCCGCGAAAATACATTGCAGAGATGTGTTCTCCAGCATGTTGATGGGGGAATGTGAATTCGTTTCATTTGTTCCCTCATTTAATTGAAGAGATTTATTTCGCAGCGCTCGCTTGGTTCTGTTCGGTTTGACTTTAGTTGCGATCGGACTGCGTGCCGTTACAGTTAGAAAATCGGAGGAAAATCGATCGATCGGGCGTATTCGCTTAACAATTTCACTTAATAATAATTAGAAATACTGTGAAAACACATTCGGAACGAAGGAAAGAGTGAGACAGAGTCAAGTGTGCAGCAATTTCTGGTTCTGTTTTAGTGCCTAAGTGCCATATAAATACGTACTAAAATATTTCAAGAATTTTAAGTGGAAACATTCACGAATTCTATGAACTTTCTCAATTGTGTTTTGGTGAAACATTTACATTTCAACCGAAGGCGAGTGAAAATTTAACGCAGAGACACTTTGGACATTGGGGCTATTTGGCAAGAAGCTTTTTGTTTTGGAGCAACGCACATTGTGAGGTAAGTCTTTAAAAATATATGCTTGTTACTATATGCGCTTTGGTTTATTTGCTTTTTGCGTAATTGCGCAAATTATTTGTTTGGTCTACTTTTTGATTGACCGCACACAGCAATTTGACTTTTCACCCAAAGGCCAAAAAGTGTAAAATGCGCTGTGGTTCCATGTTGGTGAACCAAAGCAATTTGTGTCGTTTATCTCGCTGTGTGTCTGTAGTCAATCGTTCAATTATCCATTCTCTGGCTACCCCATAACATACTGAATATGGCCAGTTCTGGATCTGAAAGCCCCACAGAATACGTTTTTTATTTTTCTGTTATGGTTCATGCTCAAATTGAAAGCACTTTTCCACAGGGTTCCCATTCTAATTTATATTTATTTATTTGCTTTTACAGCCCAACCGACGCGGCACTCGGCAGAGCTGAGAAAATATTTCAAATTCATAATTTAGTTTTCAGTTTTTTCCAGCTTGACTTAGGGAATGGGATTTTGTTTATTAACCAACTTGTATTGCGAGCATCTAGACGGAACATGCAATATTTTCTAGGCGCGTAAACAAACATTTCAACTTGTCTGCTCTTTCTCCGACTTGCTCTATATCTGTGTGTATATGGCTATAGATATCTGTATATTTATCGGGCATTTTTTTTGTCGGTCGGGAAGCTTTACGACGCCATCTTTTCTCTGCGTCGGCTTCTGTTTTGTTGCCTTTGGCAATCACTCAATTTGCTCCCTGATGAACGCTGTTCTTACTTTTGCACCTCTCTGCTCTGCGATCGTACTTATAGTTGATAATTAAGGTTAGGTTTGTTTAGCTAATTGTACGTCCGATTCCTGGTATTGTTCCGATCCCTGGTGGGATCACCCAAGAGTACCGGAAAAGTCTTTTGATCTTTATTAAGAGAAAACTTAAGTAATTGTTTATATGTATGTACATATGTAAGGCTATATATTATTTTACAACTTATTATTGTTATTAAAAATTTGTGAGGATAACTTCCGTTTGCACAAGTTTGGAATTCAAATTGTTTACAACATTATTTTGTAAATATTATTTTTAAATGAATGATTTCTCTCTTAATTCATTATAAATATTGTTAGCAATAACTGTAAAAAGTAAACACAGCTATGTAAACAATCTCTGAAATGAACACTTAAATTATTATAATGACTAATTCTAAAAGATAAAATATCTAACAATGTTTGTCATATAATAAAAATGATAAGCAATAAGTATTCAAAGATATGCTAACAATCTCTGAAATGAACACTTAAATTATTATGATGACTATTCTTAAAAGATAAAATCGCAAACAATATGTGTCATTTGTTGTATATTAAAAATGAAAAATCAATTACGTTTAAAAATAAATACTTGTTAATGAGCGAAATGCATTTTATAACACATTTACCATTATTTAAACGCTTTTGATAAATGAATTTTTTTAAAGTGATGTTAGTTATTCTGTGCTTTTCAATTTATATTTTTTAAATATAATTAAATTAAAAACAGAAAAAAATGTTTTGGAAGCTCTAGAAAAAACGTCTGTTTTTTGAAGTTTTCCAGCTTTGCTTTTCGATAAAGTCGGTCTTATATACTCGACCTTTCGCGTCATCTACTTCTTTTCATTTCCCTCACGAGATGCAACCTTCCCGCTGTCACGTACTGAGTGCCACTTGGCGGATGGATGGATGGATGGATGGATAGATGGGTGGCTGGAACCTGCCGACGAACCGTGCGAAATTACAGACTCGTGCCGGTCTCCACTTGGTATCGAATACACTGGGAGGTGGCGGGGTTACCAAGTGCGTCACTTGGGGTGAACTCGTGCGATTGAAATGGATGCCCAGTGACCGCAGGTTCAATGCGATAGGAGATGGATGTTGTGTGTATACTTTGCAAATACTTTTCGCACCGTGTTTGTTTATTTTCGGCGGTTTCGGGCCGCACAGGAAATATACTAAAATGCGCGCTCGTTTGGGATGGAGGTGAAGGTCAATCCACCTAAGGGGGATAGGAAATTTTGTTTTTTTTTTGACAATTTCCGATTTGGCGGCTGCCTTCCTGGAAGTCAAAATTTTGGATAACCCCATCTCGCGGCGTCGTTTTCTCGCGGGAGTCGGTTTTCGATTTCCCCTCGGGAACCGACGACAATGTCTGTGCAACACATGTGGCACGATCTTAGGTAGATGTATACGTATAATACATATATGGTCGATTCTGATGATGTGCCCACATGTTGCAGTCAACAATAGAGCACCAAATGCAAACCGAAACAATATTTGCCCTTGTGTCCGACTCTGGCTGTGGGCGTGGCCGGGGGGCGTGTGGAAGGCCGGAGAACAGAGACAAAACACACAGTCTCTCCGGCCGTTATTTTTGTTGCTTTTAATTTCTTTAATTTTTTGTGCGCCAGATGTGGGCTGAATGGGACTGGAAAGATCACCAGAGCAGCGAGAGAAACTGTGTCTGTTTTAATTAAAGATGAGAGAAATACTCGGGGAAAAAGGAGAGATCCGGAGATCCAGAGGGAAACGGGGCGAGCATATGTGAAAAATTAAGGCTGCCGTTGAAAGCGAAAAGATGCGGGACGCATAAGGCAACGACCAACAAACAGAACCACAACACGAACAACTAAGCGACCTTTTGAATTTTGTCGACTATAGGATACCTGAAACTTTGATACCTTTAATTTATAAAAAGAAAACCAATCATGATACTTTTTATATAATAATTTTTAAATAAAATAAACTTAGAATTAAATAAAGAAAAAATGATACCTTGTATTTATAAAAAGAAAACCCATTAATGAATATGGATAAATATTGAAAAAAAAGAGCATGAAAGAATGGTATGAAAACAAAAGCTGATATCCTAACCCTTTTTACTACCAATACTTTTTTAAGCCATACCCCTTCTTTTGCACATTGCACTTAAATCTAGAAAATAAATATACCCTTATAGCTTTCAAAAACAGGGTATGTAGGCATTGGAAAAATAACGGCAAAAGTGGAAGCGACTCGAGGGCCCACTAAATTGAGTCGTTCTTTCCCGACGCCGGCGCATTGAGTAGGACATTATGTGGGAGAGATAGTAAAAGTGAAAGAGAGAAGGGCGATCCGGGGAGAGAGGGAGAGAGCCTCGGAGAAATAAGGGAGAGAAAGAGAGATTGTACGAGATCATTGGGAATCGGAATTGGAATTGGCATTGGGCATATTTCAGTACATCGGACTACGCAGACCAATTTGGAACAGTTTTCGTTTAGCTCCGTGAAAATTGAAAAATCGCGAAAAGTCGGGAGATTTCTTCTCACCCTTCTATAGAAGCTGAGAAACGTGAGTGACACCGTCGGAGAGTTGTGCGAAAAATAGAATAGTACATTAAACAGAACCACATTTGAGGGCGCTTTATATATAGAATCTCATCGTAAAGTAAACTGACAACAAGTTGAAAAGAGTTTTTCCTCGCCAAAAAGGTAAACGCCAAGACAGGTCGTCATTTTATGGCAGTATTAAAAGAGCGCTAGCCGAAAAATCTTTATGTGCCCCACGGCTATAAAGCTATTTTCAAAATCAATAAAATATGCAACGCGTAAAAGATGAAAAACCTCAATTTTTGTTGTTATTCGCCCGCCGAACATTGTGAGCTCATTCCTGTGGACCATTTTTAATTTATGGCACGCGCTGGACAAAAATCAGAGCGGGAGAGGAAAAATGGTTGAACAAGTTACCGGAAATGTGCGCGACATTTTAATTAAGCTCGCCAAATGAAAATGGCCTTTAATCAAGTCAAGACCAAAAAGAATCTCTGCAAAAAGTCTCGAAAGTTAATACACAGAAATTGACTGTAAACAAATTGAAAAGAAAATTCATTGACTCAAAGAAACTGGCGGATGTATCTTGTAGACTTCCGATCCCTCATTTATTTTCGCACTTGTTCTTTGGGTGAACATTTTTTTTTGTAGCAGCAAATAATATACTTAACGGATGTGATCATAAATCTAATCGTATGCATTCTTCCAGGTGTTGCAGTCACATCAAACACGATCCGAGGAATCCTCCCCGCCCATCAGACGAATGATCTATGGAAACTGCGATCATCCACGCCCACGATCGGAGCTCCTTTGGTGACAAGATGGCTGCCATAAATCCATCAACTCACTGAGTAAATCACATACGACCGCCCCCAATTTTTGGGGAAAGTATTTCCGTTACACCAACAAGATAGGTGATCATCAAGAGGATCATCATCTCAGCATCATCTTCATCGGCATCCGATTGCAATCGTAAGCGGAGTGGAGGATCACTTCAAAGGCACACATGTTGCACACTAAAGAGGCCACTGTTGTTGTTTCCATTATAAATTAGAAACTAGAAGATCACCGATCTTCTTCCGGCGCGAGTGAAAAAGGGAGAGCAGTCCATATAGAGCGGAGCACTCTAAAGTGGATTTCCGGTGAATAAAAAACCACACAGCACATGCGACAAACTCCGACAAGGGAGTTGCTGTTGCAGTTGCAGTTGCAGTTGCCATTGTGGCACTTTTGAGGGTGCCTGCCCCTCAGGCAAGAGTTACAAAAATAAATATCCTAAAAATGGCTGCTGCCTGGAGTTGGCGAGCCAGTCACTCAACGATCACAATGAAGACCGGATCGCTGGCGATATTTGTGCTGCTGCTGCTGGTGTTTCAAGTTGAAGGACGCCGCCAAATGGCCAACAGTCAGGAGATGCTGAAGGATAACTTGGGAGGCAGACAAAACAAAACCTCTGCTACTTTTAGTAATACCAATCAAACAGCAACGGATTTGGACGATGGCGCTGCGGATGATGATGATAATAAACCTGATCTTCCCGAGACTGTCAGTGCAAAGCCCAGTTGGCGGCATCCCAAGAAGATGAGTTTTCTGCAGACGCGACCCTCGGGCTCCCTGCTCACTTTGAATTGCCATGCCTTGGGAAATCCCGAACCAAATATCACTTGGTATCGCAATGGATCCGTTGAGTGGACCCGCGGCTATGGCACTCTTAAGAGGAATCGCTGGGCCCTAACCATGGAGGATCTGGTACCTGGTGACTGTGGCAACTATACGTGCAAGGTGTGCAATACCCTAGGTTGCATTCGGCATGACACCCAGGTGATCGTAAGTGATCGAGTTAATCATAAGCCCATCCTGATGACCGGACCCTTGAACCTAACACTCGTAATCAATGGCAGTGGAAGCATGTACTGCAAGTATCTCTCGGATTTGACCAGCAAGAAGGCCTGGATCTTTGTGCCCTGCCAGGGGATGAACAACTGCTCCAACAACCGCTCGATCATAGCCCAGGATCAGGATCAGCTGGACTTTGTGAATGTGACGATGGACAAGGAGGGCTGGTACACCTGCATCGAGAGCAATAGTTTGGGTCAATCAAATAGCACAGCCTATCTGCGAGTGGTGCGAAGTCTTCATCTTTTGGAGGCCGGTGTGGCCGGTGGAATGGAGCGGACCAACCTGATGTACTTTATTGTCTTTGGCGGATTACTTTTCATCTTCATGTGCACTACGTTTGTCTTTTATGCCGTGCGAAAAATGAAGCATGAAAAGCTGCTGAAACAGCGTATAGAAACCGTGCACCAGTGGACCAAAAAAGTTATAATCTTCAAGCCCGAAGGAGGCGGCGATTCCAGTGGTTCCATGGACACCATGATCATGCCGGTGGTGAGGATACAAAAGCAGCGCACCACCGTCCTTCAAAGTGGCAATGAGCCGGCTCCCTTTAATGAGTACGAATTCCCACTGGATTCGAATTGGGAGCTGCCAAGAAATCATCTTGTGTTGGGGGCTACTTTGGGAGAAGGTGCTTTTGGTCGAGTAGTAATGGCCGAGGTTAACAATGCCATTGTGGCTGTGAAAATGGTGAAGGAAGGCCACACGGATGACGACATAGCCAGTTTGGTGCGGGAAATGGAAGTTATGAAGATCATTGGACGTCACATCAATATTATTAACCTATTGGGCTGCTGCAGTCAAAGTGGACCACTCTATGTAATCGTTGAATTTGCACCACACGGCAATCTGAAGGACTTTCTCTACAAAAATCGACCCTTTGGCAGAGATCAGGATAGGGATAGTTCACAGCCGCCTCCATCGCCACCAGCTCATATGATAACGGAAAAGGATCTGATCAAGTTTGCCCACCAAATCGCTCGGGGAATGGACTATCTGGCCTCACGACGTTGCATCCATAGAGATTTGGCCGCCAGGAATGTGCTCGTCAGCGATGACTATGTGTTGAAGATAGCTGATTTCGGTTTGGCAAGGGATATCCAGAGCACGGACTACTACAGAAAAAACACGAATGGCAGGCTACCCATTAAATGGATGGCACCGGAATCGTTGCAGGAGAAATTCTACGACTCGAAGAGCGATGTCTGGTCGTATGGCATTCTGCTGTGGGAGATCATGACATATGGACAGCAACCATATCCCACGATCATGTCCGCGGAGGAGCTCTACAGTTATCTGATGTCCGGGCAGCGGATGGAGAAGCCGGCAAAGTGCTCCATGAACATCTACATACTCATGCGCCAATGTTGGCACTTTAACGCAGACGATCGGCCGCCTTTCACGGAGATCGTGGAGTATATGGACAAGCTGCTGCAGGCGAAAGAGGATTATCTGGATGTGGATATTGCCAATCTCGATACACCGCCCTCGACAAGCGATGAGGAGGAGGATGAAACGGATAACCTGCAAAAGTGGTGTAATTACTAAACTAACTAGGGTAATTTTCCAAATCTTTCGAATCGATCCTGCGAAAAAATCAAAGAATTTCAATATAGCCATTAATCCGCAGTTTAAACACATCTAAATTGTTATTCAGAAATTATTATTTTTTGATCCTAGAAAAATCTTTGAAAGATCTATGGTTTATATTAAAGAAAATTAAAGTCCTAGGAATGGCCAAATGTTACCAAAACTTTTTAAAAACTATCTACCCTCGAATTTATGTATATATATCTGATTTAAGTCTGTATATCTTTAAAGAAAAATTATCCCAAAATTGCACCAAAGGCGTGAAACCAAAAACTAGCTGCTACTTTAGAGTTTATTTAAAATATATTATAGTATAGTATATTAGAACCTAGTATGCCTAATCATAAGTTTGGACTAAGACTCGGTTGTATTTCTGTTGTATTTCTTATTGTACTGATCTTTGTAGTATTCGCAGTTTTATACTCGCTAAATTATACTCGTAGCCCATAAGCACAACAATGTTTTATGTTAGAGTTAGTTGCATGCCCGCAGTGCCTTATGAAACAATAAATGTTGTACCTACATATCCGAAAAAAAATGATAAACATATAACCATAACCGAAGAGAGCCGACGAATCCGACGAGATCATGACGTCTCAATTTGAAAATCTGTGAAAAAAATAACACTCGATTTGAGGCGCACGAGGCACGCGCGTCACTAAACGAAAAATGATGAATGGAACGGCCTGCGGTCCACTCAGTTGTTTTTTTTGTTCCCCCCTCTTATATATTATTATTTTTTTTTTTTGTTTTTCAGTTTCAAACCGCCGCTGAGGTGTGAGAGGATTAGGGGGCTGTGGGTGGGGGGATATTTGGGGTTGGGTTGGGGTTGGGGTCGCGGCGTTGGCGGCTCGTTTGTTGACGCGCTAAATGCCAAGAGCGTCGGCGATGCAATTAGACGATAATACAGGCCCCGCAATAGGAGAAGAAAAATAAGTTTATAAAGTATTGTAATTGCGGGAGATTTGTGGACTGTCCAAATAGTCGAAGTGGTCGGGGGTCCAAGACGTATTCGCAATGGGCTGAGTCTGCCAGGGGCCAAAAGTTGGCCGACTTAGATCTGTATGCTTCGTGGTCCCAACGATCCGATCCAAACGATCTTGCAACATTGTGTGTGATACTTGTGAGATACGGGCATTGGGGCAAATTTAAATTAAAACTTGTGTCTTGATTATGAGCCGGTCTAAGCCAGAGATCAACGGTAATTGCCATGACTTAATGTGGGTGTGGAAGCCAACAGAAGTCTAAATTGATACTGTCTGGAGTATTTATTCATTGTTTAACTTGTTGCAAAGCGAAGTTTGTAGTTAATAAAGGATTTTGGGCTAGTCGGTTGAATTGTAAATCCAATTTTACACTAACTTTTATTTGTTTTATATTTGAATTGATTTAATCCGTGTGGTCATCCCTTATTTATGTATTAAGAGGTCAATAAGCAAACATTTTTGACAAATCTAATACGATTTCATCTGAGTAATTGAATTTTAATTAATATTAATTACTTAATTTATTTGTTCTTTTATTAAAATTTAATAATATCAAAAAAGTCTATTATTTGACATTATACATTTATAAATGTCTTGTTTTCTTTCATTGGTTACATTTCTATTCCCATGCAGTCTCATTATTCTAGACACTAATAAATTCTCCAAGTTAACACTACGGTATCAAATTGTCAAATATTTTCCATCGTCTTTTCCATCATGATGGCCTGACTTTTGTTTTTATTGTTTTTATTTTCCAGTGACCTACTGGATTATACGACGACATTTGCATCGCTTTCCATGCGTGGCCATCATTAATTAGAAGGCATTACCGTAGAGGATCGCCAACGCATCTTTGATCGGATGATGACGAGCGGCCTGGTCCAATGATTAATCTCAATATCTTTTTGTCCAAGGCACACGCTAAACTGCATTTTCGATAATTTATCAATCCAAATGTTTTTCTTTGAGGGGCCCTAAAATTGTTTTGTCTGTTTATTAATTAGGGCCCCTCCAGCTGGGCGAGTGGGCGTGGTGCGATGAGCGGCTGTCTCCTCCTAATGATCGGAAGTTTGACACGTGTCTGGTGGGGATTCGAGCGTGGGCAGCCTTTTTCTCTGACCACAAGCAACGTGGGCCACGGAGACCCCTGCAATTATTGCGTGAATATGTTAATTGAAATTTGTTCATGGAGCCATGAAAAAACATTTCACCAACTTAATCGAGCCGGCTACCTCAGGAAGTCTATGATCAGCTCGAATATGCGGGCACTTACCCACCAGCACCAACATAATTCGCGGCGATCAGCCGGCCATCGATCGATCGATCGATCGTCGGGTCTATAAGTCTGGTCCGCAATCTCTGCAATGTTGCCTGTCTCGAGTGATCAATTAATTTTTGGCCAAAGTTGGCTATTAATTTGCATGCGCTTTTTATACCCTTTCAAGAGAGTCCTAAGGATATGGGATCGGGGTACAAAGATATTTATTTTATTTGTTGTTAGTTAGATTTAGATTATGTTTACAACCAAATGAAAAATTGCTTTGGATTTGTAAAGTATAACTCACAAGGACTCATTATTTAATTCTCTATTGATACGGTAACATCCTACAAATATAATTTAAACGAATTACTATATTCACTATATAAATATTAGTTTCCAAGATTATGTAGCATATTAATTGCAGAAACAGAGAATGAACTTATCAACAAACACAAATCGTGGTAAAATATCTGAATCTATAATGTGTTATAATGCTGTTGCTGACAATTATAAATCCCGATTGCCAGAGAAGAACATCCAGGATAAGGGTATGAAAAACTTCGACTTCCCCAATTCAGGCTCCTCATTGTTGTGTTTGCTGTGGTCAATCGCTTTTGGCGATCCGACAGCGCACAGGTTGTCTGGTGGAGTGCCTGCTGGCGGACTGGCTGGGTTCCATTTGAAACTATTTTAAAAGTCTACAAATTGCCTGTCCAACGTCGATCGTCCAGATCGTGGCCGTCATTCAGTCAGTCAGTCAGTTGGTCGATTGCACAGCTTGAGTTTGACCTCGTCTTGGGGCTCTTTGTTTGGAAAGGCGGACCGAAGGCAGATCAGGGTGATCAGGCCAGTTGAGGTATCATTTCGCCACCGACATAATTGGCACCTTTTGTGGGGATATTTCCCCGAAAAGAACAAACACAGCGCAAAGTGTAAGCATTTCAATAGATACATTATTTATCGCTCAGAGCTTGGCAACGATTCAAACTGAACAGCACCGGAAATAATAAATTAATAATAATTCACTTTGCTTATTTGAATAAGCAAGAAGATGAATCAGTTTGGCGCACCTGTCACTGAAATGTTGATTCACAGTAGAATCCATCCCTCGGAACTGAATCGCTGTTTTCTTAGGTTTACTGGGGCGTATGAGTAATCTCGAGTGGTACTTCACGTGTTTTAAATGCAAATTTTGCGCTCTTTCATTCATAAAACTTTAGCAAAAGTCAAAAACAAATAAAACCCAAAAACACACAAGCGATAAAGTTGAAACAGTTTCATAATCGCTAAACCGGTTAGTCAATTCTCGGGCTAAACTTTGAATGATCGAAAACAAGCACACAAAATTTTAACGATTTTGTGCCTTTTTACTACAGCAGCCATGATCACTTGACTTGGCTTACGAACTATGCAAATCCAGCCAACATTTTGCCATGTGGGCAGCAGTCGAAACCGAACCGAAAACTGTGACAGAGTCTCTGTCGGATTTTTATGAATGAAAACGAACGTGGAGTGGAGTGGAGTGGAGGTGACAACGCTGAATGAGCCGAGCAGCGGATGTGCCTAATTAACATTGCTGATTACATTTTGTGTGTTATTAATTAGAAATACTCGAATGCTCGCATAAATTTATGAGTCCATATATTGCATTCGCATTATAATGAGCGAAAGGTTGAGATTCAGTAATTCATTTTCTCAGCTCTTTCATTTCATCTGTCGCCATGGTCCGTGGTCGCTGCATCTGTCGGATTTGTGAAATCATTTTCGTTGAGTTGCACAGAATTATGAACCAAACAATCCGTGGCCAAGCAATCCGTTTCGAAACGTTATGCCCTTCGCCGAATTTGAAGTGCACTTGAGTCAATTTGTTTTTATGCGATTTAAAATGAAAACAAGCAACAAAAAAAAGAAATTTAAATAAATCGAAAAATGAAAAATTTTAAGTTCTCTTTGTAAATATACAAAAATTTACTTACAAATAATTGACTTTCCACATAATCTTAAGCATCTTGCAGGGTATCAGTGCTTATCTGTGCCCTGAGTTTCCGATTTGCGATAATTTCAGTTACCCAATTTCTTGGCCGCAGCCTTCAACAGTCTTGTATTGGCCCGACTTTTGTGGCCTTTTTTGCCGTTGCCTTTCTGCTACTGTTAAACGCAAAATTTATGAACAATTTTCAAAAGGAGTCACGCGTTAAATGTACGACACGAACTCACGCGACATTCCCAGGGGCGTCGACTGGTGGAGGGGGGTTTCACCTGGGGGACGAGGGGGGAGATCTCAAATGGGACGGAGGATGTGGTAGATGATTTCGTTAACGCATTTGGGCCTGAATGCAACGAGAGCCTGGCTCACAACCCGGTTGGCCTTTTGTATTGCGCCTTGTAATATATTTTATTAACAATAAAATGTTAAGTGCCACAAGGCAGGGGCATGGGGCATGGGGCATGGGGCAGGGGCAGGAGGCGAGGATCGGCCACAGAGAACCTGCGAGGGGCTCCTCCAGAAAGTGTTCGGATTTCAAGCCTTCACGCTGGGTCCAGGCTACTGTGCTGCTGTAGCTCAAAAAAAAAGCAGAGAAATAAGAAAAGAAGATAAACTGCGTGCGCACATATAATCGCGCCATGAATCAAAATCACACCAGTTGGCTATATATAGATATCCGGCTAGCTGCAATAGCAACGTGCTGAGCTAACGAGGGCAAAGCTCGCAGGAGGACACGACCACTGGAGTTCTCCCCTTTTGTCGCCACTCCAAGTGCCACCTGTGCGAACCTGGATCAAAGAGCTGGAGTCACAAAGAGTCACCATGCAAATGCCGAATGAGGAGGCAGCATTAGAATTCAGCATCGAAGGTTCTAATACCCTTGTATAGTCAACAAACATCCAGAATTTACCATGTATACAAAGTATTACATTTAAAATAAAACATAATATATTCTCAGTGATATTTTGTATCTTTATGTGAAATATTCAAATTTCAATATCAATATTTTATTATTAATAAATGCGGATTTTACTACTACAACATAATAATTATAATAATATATATTTAAATACTAAGTTTGTATGCTTATCTACGTATGTGATAAATATTTGTGAGCTCTATCAATTTTCCTCATCAAAATACAATTATACGTGCCGATTGTCCATTTTTAAAGAATATTCAGTTCCGGAAATCAAACATTTGCTATTTTTGAGTTCAGAAATTATTTTCAAAATACCTCATATAGTTCAAAGAATTATTGCTTTGAACGAAATTAAAATACCCCCAGCGAGGGAATGAAATCC